GGGAGTTGTGATTATAGAAGAAAAAAAAAAAAAAGAAAAAGAAAAAAGCCATCTCAGATTCTTCAAGGCTTGTTTTCTGGGCTCTGATTTGGAAAACAAAAATTGAAACGCTAGATAAAGAATCATAGTCTGAACCATAGAATGGTTTGGTTTGGAAGGGACCTTAAAGATCATCTAGTTCCAAACCCCTCACCACAGGCACGGGAACACCTACCACCAGACCAGATTGTTCAAAGCCCCATCCAACCTGGCTGTGAACACTTTCAGGGATGGGGCAAGAAAAACAAGAAGCAAGCTCTTTTTTTTTTTTTTTTTTTTTTTTTTCAGTAATATTTTCTAAACAAAGTACTTTCCATGGAAAACATCAACAGTGAAATACAGGAATACTGACCACAGAACTGAACTGGTATCTTATACCACTGGCCTATCTGCAACAGTCTGCAGTACTGACATTGTCACATGGAGTGTATTCATGGTTAAGGACTTACTCTTTAAATCCCTTAAAAATTTAGCATCTAAGAAGAAATCTACAATAGAAAAACAGCACCTCTATTGCAGCAAAAAATGAGCAGGGGAACAATTGCAACAAATTTAATCCTGTCTGGTAGAGCACTGTCCTCCTCATGGTTGAAATCAATTTTACTGCCAAGGGCTTGGTTTTCTTTCTTTCCTTAGATAAGATTACAAAAAAAATTCATTGTGTTATGTGAGAACTGGCAGCAACTTCTAAGTCCCCCAGGTATACTTGCATTATAATGGATGTTGTCGTTACTGAAAACCATGGAATGAACTGAGAGTAATGGCACTAACAGATAGACTATAGGTACCTTTTTTGTACAGTAGATAGATAAAGCCTTACAGCGTAATGTTCACGTCACTATTCTGTGATTTTTACTCAGGATTGGTCTCCCTGAAGCTGCTTAAAGTTTTTCTGCCATAAAATTCTAGTCTCAACACTCCATCTTAAATATTGAATTAGTTTCAGTTCTGCAGGCAGCTTTTCCTTGGGAATCTTTGCTTTTATTTGCTGCAAACTTTCTCCTTATGTTCTTTTTTTCCTCTCAATTTTCGTTCCAAACAATGCTAAATGTCTTCTCCATCCATGTCATCTTATGATGGTTGCAATGAAAGTAGGTCCAGCTTTCCTTCAATGTGGAACTAAAATACACTATTTATCAGCATCAGGAACATAGTATTTGTAATCTTGTATGCCTTTACCCAAAAGGTGGATACAAGTTGTGTCTGGGTACGTGCAACATTATCACCTGAAAGGACACACTCCTTTTAATTAACAGCTTTTTAGTAATATTGGTCTGCTGAAAATTTAAAAATGAAAACAGCTTTTTAAAGACTTCTTTGTAAAGGTACTTTTGTGACAGTTCCACTTACTCAGCGCTGAAAGCAAAAAAATGGCAGCAGAGTTTGTGGCGGCAGTGCTGCAGAGCTGGCAGCTGCTATTGCCCTGCAAACTGGAACCCCATGGCTGGCAGTGACTAGACAAACACACGTGTCGGGGATCTGCCTCCTCAAGTATCAGCAAACTGAACAGTATTTCCCAGAGGTGTAGGTGCACTGAACCTATGGCTAATTATGACTTTTCTGCCAAGACATAGAAATATGGAAGAAATGAAGAATTAGTATGAAGGCTACAGTTTTACAGACAGAGGCCAAAGCACAGTAAGAATGATATTCTCCAGGGAAGGCAAGGTTTTTGTAAGAAAGCTGTGACTAAACTTGTGTTTCTCAAGTGCTGTGAACCATCCATGATAATGCCATTTTTTCTCTCCTTTTTGATATAATTGTTGGTAACCTAATATGCAGTTTAATACACCTTCCCTCATTAAGTTTTTTTTTTGCTTTTGAGAAAAACAAGAGGTTTTATAAAAACCTTACAATATTTCTCCTATAGGAACACAAAACAGCACAGAGCTATCTCTGATCTTCACCTTCTTACCCATTTAAAAATGGACCTGAGTCAATGACAGGTGGGGTTACAAACTGCTTGACATTGTTTCTCTTTCCAAGTGCCTTGCCAAAAACAGTGATGTGGCATGTTTTATTTTTTGCTCTCCATAAACAGCAAAATAAAAGTGATTTTCATTTACCTATACAGTTCTATCAAAACATGACAGGAAGAATGAAGCTAACAATCGAAAGTATTGACACCCTATTTTTTTCTCTTGCCTAACTACAGAAGCCTTAATATATTGTAGAATTAAGCTTTTAAAAAGTGTAGGAGTAGGAATGCAAGAAATAGAAATGTAAGGAAAGATATTAAATCAAAAATTACACCTATATAGGCGTTTTATACACAAGAGCATGAAGACTTGTTTTTCTTATGTGTAACTGAAAATTAAAGGTTTCAGTTTTAAAAGTATTATAAATGCTGTCTCCTTTTCATCAAAGCATTTTGCAGCATTATATGTTACTGTGTGAGTAAATACATTAAATTGAAATCACTGGTTATATTTTCAGCTGTGAACATAGCTAAATGGTTACTTCTCATCTTGTGATGGAGCTATAAAACACAACACAATCACTCCATTTACTTTATTATGACTAGGATCCTTGATACCACTAATCTTAACTGCTGTTTCTTAATGCTATGTATCATGAAATGTTAATGTTCAAAAAAGACCCAATCCATTTAGACTGAAAAGTGATTGGTCGACAGATGGAGTCGCAGCAATGATTATATTTCTTCCTTACACTTCATTTTCTTACACTCTAATGATTCATTTGGATACTGCAAGCCATTCCCAGATTTTTTTTCATGGCTTCCAGGAGGACAATCACTAACCTCTGATATTCCTTACCACCTCTCAAAATAGTTTATGGGAGTCTGGCCTGCAGAAATCAAAATTCACTGGATTTTGTTTAAAACATAAAAGATTAATGATCAGAGCTAAATGTGATGGCTTTGGATAAAGTTATGGGGGCTGCACATGTGCAATAGCAGACGTGGAAAACACTATCATTAGTGGGGGAAAGTTAATGATAGAGTTAATTGGCAGATCTGGGTGCAGGAGTCAATGCACTGAATGGAGTAATACCAGTGGGAATCCCATGCTACATATAAAGTCTGAGAATAAAACCTCTAATAGAGGATACAATTTCTTGATTTTGACCAGGAAAAACTTAAATAATACTTTTAACATGTAAAAATCATGATGTAAAACCAGAGCAATCTAATCATTGCTTTATAAGCAATTTCCCTCCAACTTATTAAGAAGATCAATAATAGTTTTGCCTATTTTTAGAACAGCTTTGAATAAATATTCCAACATCCAATAAAATCATTAAAATATGTATTCATATAGATATTTAAAAGAAGTTCATAGCTTTTTAATCTTAAAAGGGGAAAACACATTCTTTCTCTCCAAAGAAGAAAATGGGCCAGAAAATCTTTATGTGTCATAAATTCAAATGCTTCATAATCTTAGTAGCTGGCTGTTATTACACTGTAGTCTCCCTTTTCACACTCTTAAATTTACTACTAGCAATATAAATTAAGAGAATGAACTAAGACATTATTTTTAAAAATTAAATAAATAAGACCTAGTAAATCTTCCAGCTCATCAAATCACTGAGAAAACCATAACAAAGCTACAAACTCTTTTTTTTTTTAATTTAACACTTTTTCTTAGTAATTATTTAATAAATCTGAAAAAAAAGAATAAAGTGACAATTCTATTATGCATTCAGCTACTCTAAATGTTAACTCTGACAGGGGCCAACACTTTGCAACTGTCCTTATAGGCATTAAGCCAGCATGACTTCCATAGTTTTCCCAGATTAAACACAGGTAAAAAAGTCCACAGCAATCTAACATCACAGTGCCTTATTTCTATTTTTTCACAACTTTTATCTATGTTTACAAGTTGAACTGTGTCCAATGTTTTAGAGCTGTCACAATCAAGGAGCTGCCACAGCTGAGTCTTGATGATGCTTATGTCATGTCAGACTACTTCCCTGTCCCACACAGGAAGCCATAGTTACTGATGCGCCCCTAAACCAGCACTTCAGAGCCATGGTAATGGTAATTCCATTGGCTGGGATGGAAGTTGTATCTCATGCAAATTGTCTCCCATGGTGTGAGCAGGGCAGGACATGACATGGTCATGAAGCAGAAGTAGTGTCTCCACACTGGGTGCATCGTTAGGTGGCAATACATAAATCCTGTACTTTTACAGAACTGATTGAAATAGAAAAAATTATGCACGACATTTACTCATAAGCAGGCTTTTCAAAGACAGAGAAAACATCCTTACGTGCCAATTGAGATGCTGTTCCAATTGAAAAGTATACCTGAAGATCTGGATATCATAACATCACTCCAGTTTTGGGTTGCTATAAATGTCAGAAGCAGCACAAAATCTGTCAATAAATCACTTATTCTTTATAACTTCTGAATATTATGTGGGTATTCTGGAGCCCTTAAAATGGAATTATGTTTCAAGTTTATGTAGTGAAAATATGGCTCCCTGAATCTGACTGTGTACTTTTCTGGAAACTATAATACTAACTGTGACCATGAACAATGTCATTAGAAGATAGAAATTTTCTCATCACATACCATTCTGATAACTCCATCTTTGCTACAGGTCCTTAAACCTCATTAAAAAGAAAAAAACTTCAAATATTTCAATGCCTTAAAAATGTCAGACAACTGTATTTTAAAGCTCTCTGTGGAAACTGAAGATGAAAAATACTTGGCTGTTGTAATTCCACAGTTGCAGCTCAACTGTTTCTTGTGATTTGTTTGTGCTACTTCTTTATTAGTGAGGAATTTTATCCTAGGAAACTTAATGATTTTCAAGTGTTTGCACTTGAGGGAACATACTGATCGTTTTCCAAACTACAGAAAAATTACTAGACTTTCAAAGTCACATAGAATTACAGGAGAGCTACCAGTCATCACTTGTAAAACTCTTATGCATCTTCCACAATGAAGAACTAATGTGAGAAGCTTAATTTTGATTTTTGAGATAGCCACAGCATGTCAAGCGACGATGCTTTATGATACTTGATTTGATTTCTCTGAATAACACAGGCCACAAGGAGCTCAGTGCCACACATAGCTGTGGGATGCTACAGGTAGTAGCAGACCTGCATCCACTTATTTCACCATGGTTCATCAGGCCTGTTGGTACATGACCCACACCTCCAGTACATTTAAGAGATTGTGTTATTCTGCCAAGGCAGTGTGAGTTAACACTCATGACACAAGTAGTGTCATTGAAAGATTCCTAGACATGTCAGTCCTGCACTCTTTTAACCTGAGTATCACCTCTTACTCATTTCGCCCTTTCTACCTGAAAATATAGTGTACATTTAATGTCTTCAGAGCAACAGTTCTAAGATTCAGTGTTTCATCCCTGTCCAGCAACTAAATCTTTAATGAAGACTTCATGGGTTTGCTTCTCAGCTATTGTGACCTTCTCTTTTCTGCCTTTGTCAAGTGCTGTCCTGCTCCTCTTTATCCACTCAGGATACTGCCACAAAATTAATCTTTCTTGCTTATCTGCTGTCACTTTCAAGGCCAGTCCTAACATTCTACTGCCATACCTAGTCACTGTTGACTTTTAGAGAATACTGAGCTGTTTATCCATTCAAGCAATCATTTTAGCCTTACTTATTCATAAATTAGACCTTATTAATAAGAAATGTTGCTGGCTTTAATACAGCCCCTTAATATTCTGAAATATTATTACAACTGCTTATGGATGCTGACATTTTTGAAGCTGTAGCTATGGACAGAGGGTGAGAAATTCATAAGACAATGTGGTAAATTTTTCATTCAGATAGCAAAGGGAGAAGACACATCTTAAATAATTAGAAATATCATGAATAATTAGAAATGCATTCTGTGGTTTGCTATCTCTTTTGCTACAAATTATTGGAAAACTGTCAGGCTTTCTGCAGACTTTAGCTGTGAACATTGTACAAGTTGACTTTATCCCAAATATGATTAGGAAATTTATCTGTAGCCTTAAAATAAAGAGACTGACAGAAGGGTTCCTCCAGTTCAGCTGATGTAGCATGTGGATGTTCTCCAGACTTTTCCTCCTAATCCCTTGTTGGTTCATTAGCAGCTCTGAAGACAAGAGACTTATGCCAATCAAAAGTAAAAGTCCCAGGAAAGCCTAGCTCATATGCCCGTAGAAAACAACTTGAGAGTTTGGAGAAAGACAGTATATTTCATAGTTCTGCTTTAAAAAACCCAGAGAACCACAACACAAGACAGAACCAACAAACTATGGAAATCTGAAGCCAATGTCTATAAAACCCTTCAGCCTGACTTAAGCCCTGGAGTGCTGTTAGTCCATTGAGCAAGCTCCTACTTTGCCCAGAAGTTTTTATTAAGACAAATGACAAAACAAAAGAGTGACAAGTTCTTTTTCTTTGTTTGTTTTTCAGACTAGTTGTACAAAGCCTACCAACATATTTTAAATAAATAAGGCCAGCTGACAGATACACTCAGTTTCTGATTCTGCTCTATTACCTGTTTGGAGCACTACGAAGCAGCAGAACAAGTTTCTTCCTAACAATTTGACAGTCTTTATACTTCTTTTCTGCTGATCTCTACCACATATAAATGTGATACAGAGAAATCCATGTGCCTAAGCAGAGCTCCTTTTAAGTTCAGTCTCAATTTTACTAGGAATTTTGGTTTGGGAGGAGGGTGATGCTAAGTAATCTTATTACAGAGACTCGTGTAGGGTGCATTAGGATGCCTGAAGAATCATGGGGGATTGCACCATTTTTCTCATGGCCAAAAAACTACTTACAACTAACTATACCAACCATATATTTAATAGTATTCTTTACCTCGACAGTCCATGACTATTAATGATTGTTTTAAGCCATGTGATGAGGATAGATGGATGGCTTTTTTATGTGAACAGCTCTACAGAAACACACACTTGGGTGAGCAGTCTCAGCAGACAGTCCAAACTATATCAGTTGCATGTGTGGTCTTTACAGCATACATTTGAACAACATTAGTGCAACAATCCAGACAGACATAAAACACTAACATTTCTTAATTAAATAAACAGATTTCTGTGCATTGAGCACCAATGAAACTTTCAATATTGCTAAACTCAGCAGAAATATTCTTAAATTAATAGGTGGGGAATTCTTGTTATTTAAATTGTTTCCCCCTTGCCTGTCTTTATGCAATATAAATGCCTGTATCACCACTTCCTTCCTCATTACTGCACTATTTGGTTTCCAGGGAATATTTTTTCTTTGTAAAGTGGTCATTTGCATATAAATATATGTATTATTACAGATTCATAATTCTGTTGGTTCTTTAGTCCTCATTTCAGCCCTATGTGGTATTTGAAAGCTACTCATATTTAAATTCATATTTGCTGCACTGGGAAGATTAGGTCTTGATTTAAGTCTTCTCCACTTCAGTCTATAAGGTGAATGTGTTTATGTGTGAGCCACTAACCTTCCAAAATGGTGTGAAAATTTCTGGAGCAAAGAGAGACCGAGTGGAGACACAAAGAACAAACAAGATACAGAAATGCATCTACATATTAATTTTTAAATGCATCAAGAGACTGTTGCTCTTTCATTTTAATATCTTAACAAGAATTTCTATAAAACACCAGGTAATACTTCCTTTGTTTTTATATTTACTAGAAATACATCATCAAGAGAGCTTTGAAGGTTCCAGGGAGTCCAGGAATGTAAAACAATATGCAATACTGTCATGTAAAGCACCTCATTTGTCAAAACAAACAAAAACCAAGTGGAACACATGCAAAGCTTCACTACAGTTATGTATGTATTTATTTTCCTTTCTCTGAATACCTCATTGGTTATTTGATAGAAGGACAATCCCCACTGAGTAACAGAGCTCACATTTTCTCCTCATCTGTTGAAACATAAAAGGGCTTACACAAGTAGCAAGGCTGAGCACCTTAAGGACAGGCATTAGAGGATGCATGAGGTGCATGATGGCCCAGTAAAAATCTTTCATGCAGCTGTATATCAGTTTACATGACAGAGAAAGGATTAATTTCCACAGGCTGTCAGGTGATTAAAATATTCTGCAGAGTAAAACAAACAAACAAAATCGATTGCTTCCCTTCACATGGAAGATTTAAAAATGTAATTGAAGTAAGTAGACTGTGTCTGTGTTCTGTGCCTGGAAAAGTACTTATGCTAAAATTGTGCTAGACAGGCTAGATAAAACCAAAACAATTTAAAGACTTCTAGACCAATATTTTGAGATCACCTGCAAAACCAGTGAAGTCTAAAACTAAACAGCAGTAAAGAAAGAGCAGTATGGAAGAAGGAAAAGAAATTCTGAAACACTTTCTTTTCCTCAAGCTGGGAACCAGACAAAATAGAAATATCATCCTAAAACTGCAACATAGAAATTAATTTCAGAATGTAAATTGGATTCACCCATGAATATAGTCCTATCAGAGGACTGGAGAACTGTGAAATGAAATATATATACAACACGGTAGTGGCTAGAGGTAACAGACACATGTCTTACATTCCCTTTGCATTATCTGTGTGCTTCTCCTTTGTAATTTCAGGTTGGGTTTTCTTCCCTCTGACCCATGTGCAGTGTTTTGCATCAGACCAGAAAACCTGAGCTTCATATTCAAAGCAAACAGCAGGGTCAAGAAAACTCTTGGGAGTAGAGGTACTTCTCAGTAGAGAACGTTTCCACAGAAATGCAACACTGAAGCACTGGTGGCTGGGGGCAGAGTCCACAACTTTCAGGTCTTGCTGCATATGAGGAAGACAGACCATAGAAAGATGGCAAGATGAGTTTGTTTCTGTCTCCCAGTATCCACCTGCTCCACAATGTAGGCTACACAACTTCCTCAGGGGATGTAGGATCCCTCACAGTATCCAACTGCGTGTATTTCACCTCCCTGGAATAGAACCAGGCTCAAGACATTTCCCATTGTTTTACCTCTAAAATGTTACAAACCTAAAGCCATGACATTTTGATGCCTGTTTTAAAACCTACCTGACATGGCCTATGTACTTACTATATTTAATTGCTGGCAGAGTTCCAGGTCTCTCGTTTTGGACAGTATTTTCATCCCATTGCTTGCAGAACATTTCATATGCATATAATTTTTGTTGATGTTCTCTGGCTTTTTTGTATCCTTGCACTATTTCCTGCTGCCATTTCCAGTCACTAACAGTGTGTGCAATTCCATAGCTTTCTCTTCCGAGCAAAGTTCTCACTGCTGTACTTTGTTCCCAGCACTAATAATTTGGAACATTAACATCAAATTACAAGAAGAAAGTCTGCTTTTTCCGGGTTCTGTTCTGAACTGCTACTATATTAGAGACTACCTTGCAGTTGAGCCACAGATCACTGTATTTTGACAATCCAGTTGTGTGTCAAAGGAGTGATCTCAGACCAGTTCTTTATCCATGTCACCATGCATCCATTTAAACCACCTCTTCCCATCTCATAAGTCATCGTGAAAGTGAAATATCAATGTATTTTCTATATTGCGAAACCATGGGTGAATCAGAAATACTGGTACAGTAAAACAAATCCTCTTTTTTGTATCAAAATACAGAAACTTACATTTACTCCTCAGTGAATAACATATGAAACATAGGATAACATATGAAATACATGTGATGCTCTACCCATTCAGTAATGGGATTCTGTTCTACTGTCTATGCTCCATTATAGTTGCATATTATGCTCAATACATGACCTGTGACACCCTAGCAAACGTCTTTGCTGTGCCTTTCCACCATGACCTATTTAAAGAGTTCTGTCATTTCTACATAGAGATATATAATATGGTGGTTTTGACTACAGGAAAACCTGAACTTCCAGCACAGGTGTTTTTTCACAGATCCATGTACCCTTCCAGATTATATCCTTCCTAGGTAGTCTTACAAAATGCTAGTTAAGACTAGAAAGCACAGGATAAAACACTTCTTAAAAGAAAGCACAGGATATAGCTTTTTAGCTTAATAATAGATCCAACCCACCTACCAACCTCTGTAAATATAATGGAGTAACTTGTCTGATAAATGGAGGGAAAATACCAAAGAAATATTTGATTAAATATACAGAAAGGACACAGAATTCCTCTTAAAGCTATGTTATAATCCCTATAACTGCTGAGTCATGATTCATAGGCACAAAAGTCTGTGGAGTCTTGGTGCATGAGCTAAATATTTATGTGTCTATCCTAACAATATTAAATTTGTGATGTGCAAGAAATGCTGATCCTTCTCCTCAATGAAATGCTAATTCCTGTACTTAATAGTTGCTTAAAATTACTGTTTCTCAAAAGTCATCACTATCAGGCATTTTACAGCTTCTCATTTAAAAACAATTAAATGTACAGTTAAGGAACAAAACTTTTGTCATATTACAACTCAATAATTACCAAAGTATGAAAACATTCGAGACAGGCCTACAATTAAAATGTTCTGCAGACAGGGAAGGTGTCGTGGGTAACCCAAAATGCCACTGCATTCCATATCCATCTGTGCTCAAAATTGTTATTGTCTCTTTAAGACTGGTAAAGGGAGTGGGGTGGTACCGCAGGAGCTTTGAAGTCTGCTGGGCAGCAGCTGGTGCCCTTCTGCCACGAGTTTTGTACCTCACTGGGCTCCTGGTCTTTGCTTAGGCAGAGCTCTCTGGACACATGGTTTGGATCTTGGTTTCTTGCTATAGGGCCAAGGCAGTCAGGCAGAGGCTTTTCCTTTTTGGGTTCTCTTTTCGCTTGAAGAAACTGCAGCTCTTGGGTGTGAGCTGCCTGGGCCCCCGCTCCGCGAGAGAAGACTGAAGTTGCCCCAGCCCAGCCACCTTGCCTTGCCTGCTCCTGCTGGCTCCTGCCACAAGGACAGGGAATTCTGTCCGAGAGTCTCTAGTCCTTGATCTGGAGAATACCAGTTGGAGCTCCAGCTGGGAAGATGAGCAGAGCAGAGTGGGGCAGGGGGAAAGGCTGACACCTTCTTTCCCTATGTCCTTTGAACCACACCTTTGGCTGAGAAGTGCCAACCTGGCGGGGATGTACCTGGCGCTTTTGGGTCTGCTAGATTCAGCAGTTTTGTATCTGGTGGTATCTCTTGACTGTTGCTGTTCCTTATAATAGTAAAACTGTTATTTTTTCACTGACATCTACTTGGTTTTGTTCCTTTTTGGTGGAAAGGAATTGGTTGAACATACAGAGGCAACTCAGTCCAGAGTTCCCCTTTAAATTGACTTAAACTAAGAAAGAAGATTATCAGGCTGTCCTTGGTTTGATTTTCTTATTCATATGGGGAGAATTTTCAATGATCCAGAATAAATTCTGTGACTTTGAAATAAATTTGTGATTTTGAAAAACTGCATGATTTGCAGAGTTGTTCCTCATTCTGATGACTTACATTGGTGAAACTTGTTCTGTGCGTGGAGCTTTGAATCTGTCCTGAATTCCCAAGCCACTACTTCATATTGTTGCAAAAGTAGTGGAAGTGTCAAGTTAAAGATTTAATATAATAATTATCTGAAACTTGAGCCCTATTTTAGCAATCACTATCAGAGATGTTGCTGAGAGTTAAACTCATACAGAACTTACACTTCAGGTTCCAAAACCAGGATCACTGAAGCTGAATAAACCCATAGAAAACATGGCCTATACAGGACAATAACATCCCTCTCCTCCCCCACTATATTTGACTTTGATATAGAAGACTTAAAATATAGCCAGCAAATAAATGTTCTGAAGGAAGCATCAACTAAAAAAAAAATTAAATCATTTTTTTCAAGAAGTGGAGACTCATTTGTATAATTTTAAGGATCTCAGAAATCCATCTTGTCCAGTGCCTTTCATTGCATTTTACTGAATTATTTTTTTATTAAAAAAAAATTAAAAAATTAGAGTACACACCCCTGAACTCTAATATTTTATCACTCTGTAGAAGTTGAACTCAACCCCAACCCATTGTTTTCCCGAATACTTTTTCTTCTATTTGATCCAACTTAATTCTTGTCTATTTATACATCTCTGTTAACCAGTACCTCACAGAGTGTGATCTGGGGTAAAAAATTTAAACTGAAGCTACTAGAATTTTTTAAGCAGTCACTAAATTTCATATTATCCTATTATGATGCTCTGGTACATTTTTTTACTTGAAAACTGAATATCTAAGATGTTCTTGCTATTTTAAAAGCAGTTTTTCAAACATGGAAAACCAAACAAAAAAAGGGTTTGGGAAATGGATTTTCCTAACATAAAAATATAGAATTTCAGAACCATCCAGAATAAATTCTAAATTACTCCACAGTGGTGGGAAACTTAACTTTCATTCATGCAGACTTCTGACTGCTTCTGTAATGTACTCTTTCTTCATTTCAGTTAAAAGCTTCCCTGGGAATTGACTGTATTCTTATATACACTCAATATCATCCCAGTTGTATGATATCTTAACTATAAATATTAATAAAATTAAACAAAATATCTATGCTTTATATTTAAATGAAACACGAGTGAACTGAAAAATCTGGTGGGTATATGATTTCTATTCAATTGGGAAACCATTAAATACCACTTTTTCTATAAACTATAAACTCATTTGTCCCCTCAAATTCAGATCAGCTTCAGCCATAAAAATTATCCGAGGTGTACAGTGTTTCATGGAGGTCAGCATATATCCCAGACTCTCGTGAATGCACACTATGGTCATGTTCACAAAAAAAACCCCAACAGAAACCAAACAAATAAAAACCCAAAAAAACCCCAAACAGTGTCTGGAGACTCACAGTCTGTTAGTTCATTGCACTGGGAAAGAAGTCCTGCCAGAAACCTTGCAAGTACCAAGAACGTGCAAGTAACAAGAAAACACTGCACTAAGTGAAAGATAAATTAAATCAGATGTAGCCATAGAGTTCCTGACTTGCTAAAACAATTGCATTTTTTAATAAATATAAATTTATAGTTAACCTATGACAAGCCAGTGCTTGCTGTATGAAATAAATTTAGCATTGATATGCCAGTTTTGGCTGGACAGTCAACTTATTCTGTAACAAATGTTTAAGACAACATCCGTTTCAGGAAATTTTAATCAGAAATACATATTTCTGACCTGATGAACTCTTTTGGAGAAATTCTTTATCCCAGCAGATAAACTACTTTGTACAGAGGGAGCTGCTGCCAAATATTCAACATATAAATGATTCTATTCTTGAATGTGTTGATACTTTGGCAGAGATGAGCCCTAAATAACTGTCTCATTGCAAGTTAACAGTTCATGTGGCTGGCTTTCAATTCTGTGTAATTTACCGAACACTACAGAGCTTTTTTACAAGGTTCAGGATAAATTAAATGAAAATCAAGTACAAATGAAGAACGGGTCATCCATGAGCAGAATTCAATGACACTGGAAAGCAGGATAGCATCTGTTACAGGATCCAAAAAGACAGATGAATTTCCAGTGCATCAATTTGTAGAAAATGAAATGGTTTGTTTGAAAACAAACAGATGTCCTAATAAATTGGGCTAAAACTCATCTGGACACACTTGCTTCTGCCTTAGTGTAGACACCATCCCCTTTGGAGTAGATGAAAGAATGAGAAAGCATGAGATTTCACAGAGATGACAGGAATAATCTTTGAGATAATGTCTTTCTTCTCCAAGTTGAAGGAACTCAGCTAAAACCAGCCAACCAATCTAAAATCAAAACCCCCATGCAATCCGTAACACAGTCAGTGAGCAACAAGACCTACATAGCTCAGTGGTCCCGAAGGTACTGGACCTCATTTGCTATTGATTTGTTATATAGTCTCTTACAAAAGTAAAAAATGGGTGTAAAATGTTACCAGTTTAAAATGCTACATGGCATTTATTTAGTATTGGAGTACTATAAGCAGCATATTGGTACACTCGTATTTAGTAATTAATATGATGGTGCCAGCATTAGAAAAGTGACCAGGATCACCTGGAGACTGCAAAACAAGTCTTTTTTTCATTTTCAAGCTGATGCTTACTGTTTTAGCCTCAAGATTTATGTTTGACACTACTAATTAAAAATGAAAGGGTAAAACCAGAATGAGGTATTCTGTAATTTTTCTCTCCAGTTGTGCCATGGCCTTGGAGCCTGTTGGCTGTGCTTTTGGAGAGTATATGACAACATGGAAATTTTTTCTGTGGACCACTTGTATTGCTGAAGCCTGAATATGAGGAACTGCTCAGTCTTGTTACAATTACTTCAAATTCCTGTGCCACTAGCTGTGAACTGATGCAAGGGACAGCTGGGTATTAAGTTGTCTCTACTTACTAACTAGTTAATAATTTATGTCTTAATTTACAGAGGGGACAGCTATACTTTTAATCTAGTCTCACAGTTTGTGCCATGAGGGGAGAGAGAAGATTCCCACTGCTAGAATCTGCATGGGGCAGCACAGACCACTATGGAAAGTCTGCTTGCTCTAACTTTTTTTTCTGCAGAAACAGCGAAGCAAGCAACTAGCTTAAAAGGAAAAACTTCCTGTCATTCTGAAAACAGACACCTTGTATTCTGGATAACTAGTCAAATTAAAAGTTTATCTTACTAAAATATTAATCATTTTTAAAAAAACAAATCACAAACATTGCATCCCTCCATCTCCCCAGCCTCCCCAAAATACAACTTTTATTGAAACCAAGTGCCTTATTTAGGCTGTGCTGTTTGATGTGCCAGGTAAGAGCAAATAAAGGACACTGACAACAGAATTCAGCTCAATATTTCTGTCTGCTTTAACACAGACTGATGGAGAGCCTTAGACTTTCATTACCTTTTTAAAAATAGAAGGTACATGAATAGGCATGCACCTCGGGTTTTTTAGAGAAATGAGTCACAGCTTTTCAATTACGTTTCTTTTCTTGCAACCTTTATTTTCAATTTAAGAAAAATACTTTATTTGTAAATCCTATTGCATTCTTTTCAAAATTCTGTGAAGATAGTTAATTTCACCTCATGTGATTGGGATAACAGCAATAATAGCACTGTGAAAAGCAATAGGCCTTATTGTTGCTGTGGTTTAGTGAAGCAGATAATGAGATCTGGTAGGTTACCTTGAGAGGAGTATTTACAAGTAGCACTTCACTCTGTAAATATTCTTGTCTATGAGTCAGAGTCTATGCAAAGAAAAATTCAGTTTCAACCATGAATTCAACTTCACCAATGTATTAGTGTATTCTGGGAAGTGCTTCATTTCTGTATATATGGGCTCTTCCCAACCAATACTACACAGAATTTGATGTCATCCCCAAAAGCTCAAAGTATTTGTCAGAAGTGTTTTGCACGATTATTTGCTGAAGACATTAGTTAGAGAAACAAACTAAGAGGTAGAGAGCTGCTTTTCATAACACATTTAAGGAGCCAAAAGTATAATCTGCATATCCTGTTGTCCATCCTAGTATTCAGCCTTTCAGCTGAAATAAAGCTTAAATT